AATCACTCAGAACACCCAGCAACTTTAGAGCAATACTCTAGCAATCACTCATAACACCCAGCAACTCTATAGCAACACTGTAGCAATCACTCAGAACACCCAGCAACTTTAGAGCAATACTCTAGCAATCACTCAGAACACCTAGCAACTCCATAATGCAGCACACAAAAAACACCCAGAACACCTAGCAACTGCATAACAATGCCATAGCAATTACTCAGAACACCCTAGCAACCATATTAAAGCATGCTAAAAACATTCACGACACCTAGCAACCACATAGCAATGCTTTAGCAATCACTCAGAATACCTTAGCAATCAAATTAAAGAATGCTGAAATCGACTCGTAGCAACGACAGAGCAACGCCTTAGCAATTTCTCAAAATACCCTAGTAACCAATAAGACGACTCTGAATGCCTACCAACTGCATAGCAACACCTTAGCAACCCTATAATGGCCAAGCAACCACCCAAAACATGAAGTAAATAAATACCAGAATGTGATAAGCATTCTGAACACCATAGCAACTGCATGGCAACACCCTGGCAACCACCCCCAACACCCTAGAATCACAGAGGATATTTTTACACAGGCAATCACAGAAATATAAAAATCTAGCTACAGAATAATGATGTATTGTCGTAAGGTGAAGACATGAGTCGAAAGTGAAAGAAGAAAAGATGGTTCAGAAGATCTGAAAGGGTCTGATGTCTCTCTGTCTGTCTTTTGTGCTCGTTGTGCTGTCTGTCTCTGTCGATACACTGATGTGTTTGTGTTTGTCTCCTCAGCTGCTGGGTTTCATCTACGCCTGCTACGTCATCAGTGTCATCACAGAGGAGGAGGACAGCTGTGAGTATCTTCTCTTATATCCTATCGTGCCCATCTGTCTGGTTGGCAGTAGTTGGTGTGGATGGCTGACATCTGTCTGCTCAGGTCAAAAAGTGTGTGTGTGTGTGTGCGTGATAAGAGAAAAATGCAAGTCTGTACTAACAACTCATTCTTTCCCCTGTTTATGTGTCCAAAACAGACATTATCAGTTTTATTGAAGAAATATGTCTGTCTGATTGTAGTCTAACATAAACATTCAGGAGATGATGGCTCTGTGTCCTTCTAGCTTTGTTTTGTGAGAATATATCTAAACCGCATGAATTATCCATGCTGAAGAATATTAAATAGAATTTAGATTTGTAAGCACATGTTTGCAACGAAGACTCGTTGGAAAAACATGTCTCTACTTATATTTTTGCAAAACTCCAAAGACATACCTATACATGGGTTCACTGCAGTTTCCAGCTAAAAATGAAGACTAGTAAAACACCAACAACTTTTATTCCTTTTCAAATTATGATTACAGGGGCTTTATTGATTAATAAAGACTTATTTTCACATGGTTCCTTGCACTTTTTAGCAACATCATATGATCCCTTTACATTTTCTTTAAAGGGGTCATATGACGTTGCTAAAAAAGAACATTATTTTGTGTATTTGGTGTAATGAAATGTGTTTATGTGGTTTAAGGTTCAAAAAACACATTATTTTCCACATTTGTCAGGCCGGAGCGAAGAGACAAAAACATTAAAACCCTTTATAAACAAGGCATTTGTTGCATCCAGTGGGGACATAATTACGGTATGAATATCTCTTTGGTTTTGAGACTTTAGTCTGCGCTTGAGATGCTACTTTTTAAAGGCGCTATAGAAAATAAAGTTTATTATTAATATTATTTTCATAGGTCTGTAGGAATTCACTTCAGTTTAAAAATACTGTTCACGGTGCATATACACAGCGATTATTTGCTCCCGGCAAAATAGGCTTTAACAGCCTCACTAAGTGGGAGAGGACCAGAGTGAAGCCCAGGGGATGAGATAAGCCACTGCCATGTTTGTATGGGTCAAACATAGAATCCCTCTGCTGACTGCTAATGTTTTCCCCTCTTTCAAAAAAGTAGGGAATACTGTTCTTTCATTTACCACCTCTGAACGTTCCCTGGTGGACTGTAGCTCATGGATAGGAAGGATTAGATTGCAAAGAATTGGTCAGCTTTTATCTTTTATCCTTTACTTTGTATTCTTGTGTACTTTTGTTTTCTGATGACCTTTGAGCGTCATCAGTCACGGAGAACAGTCTGTTTGTATTTTATAGTGTACATGTGCTCAGCTCTATATGTATGCTCTGTACAAATTTACCAACATCAAAGTGATTATAAGTACGCCGAGGAAAGTTTTATTACTTCGAGGTTGCTTTATAGCCCAGGAGATTTAAAGAGTGCATGAAATCAAAATGTCCGTTTGGTGGCTTTCATGCCTGTTAGTTTTAAGGACATCTGTGTACTAGTTCACTTCTAAAAGTTCGCAAAATAAACTTTTAGCACACTGAAGCATTTGAAAAATTACAATCTTTCTCTTCTGAACTGAAAATATATACAGACACAGTTTAAAATTTTTGTCCAATTAAATGCTTTCTAGAATGACAGCACCCTTCAACTGATTAGCAAGTAGCAAATCATAGTTGTGCTAATGAAAATTTGGAAATGTAGCTACATTTTCCGTACTTAGCATAACAGTAGATTTGTCCACCTTCATATGAGAGAGATTCATCCAGAAGTAGCTTTATCCACCTTATTTTTAACATAAGTGTGGGTGCGGCCATTTTTAACTTGAATGTACAAGGTTCCAAATTATAGCTGTACAAAAACAGTTTGTTATGCTGCCGAAACAGCAGGCAAAGGGTAAATCCAAGAGAAACAGGCAATAATCAGGTAAGTGAAGCCGACAGAGCGGGAAACCAGGACAGATCCGGCAGTATTGGTGGAAGTGAGCACCACCACGACAGAGCAGGCGGAACAGAAGACCACCAGGAGCTAGACAGCAGACCACCATGGTGGAGCAGAAGACCACCAGAGTCAGACAGCAGACCACCACAGCGGAGCAGAAGACCACCAGAGCCAGACAGTAGACCACTTTACAATACTCAATAGTATTGAGATGGTGTGGATTATATATACACTGAAGATCAGTGTTAAACAAGTAACTCTATTCAGTGTTCAAGTTAATTGAGATAAAGAAGTGATGAATTAACACCTGCTGTTAACAAACAGAATTATGGTTTCCCTGATGTGGAAAACGCAGACGGAATTGCAGAATATGGCAAATATTAGATTCAGTCATTTTTAAAACACATTCTAACTCGTATTGAAACTACATAATGCATGATTATAGTGTGTAACGTTTTATGATGAACTTACCTTCAACGGAGTAGAAAACGATGATTTTGGATCGCTTTGATTTGATGGAAGGTGAACAGAGCCGAGCAGCCACTTGCTTCAGCAGTACGCGCCGAATGCTTGTTGCCTCGGCCAATCAGAGTGGCGTTTACTGCTTGGGTTATGATGACGTGCTGCCTATCAAATGCAAGTTCCACCACTGCAATGTTAGCTTTCGGCTAACTCAAAAGTTGGAATGCTTAATTTTCTAACCTACAGTGTTGTATTTGCCTTGATAACATGTTAAACACAATCGGAGACGATATGACACAAACCGGTCCAGAGACGATTAAAATAAACAAGTAAATAAGAGAAAATGTAAAACATGTACTCAATAAATAAATAATTAAATAACATCATCAAATAACCTATACTGATATTCATTAACCATGTTGATAACAACGTTGATATTTGTCTTAAATAAAATAAATATTACATTCATTAATAATGTCAATTTCCTGCACATGTCTTAGACGTCCAAAAAAGTTACCTAGTCCGACGTTCAAATGTTGAACTGCATATTGACGTCGAAATGTGGTCTTGGTTAGACGTCCAAATACATACCCTAGTTTGCACTTCGTGTAGACGTGCAGAATTGGACTTGGACCGACGGACGCAATATAGACATAATCTGCACGTCCGTCAGACGTCTAATGTTTAGTGGGGTGCTTACGCGAGAAATTTGATTAAATTTATTCAAAAACTCTGTGGTATCTTTTAAATATGATGGTAATTTCTTCACTGTCGGTTGAATCAAAAAATCGAGGAATTTAGATATTGTTTCCATAAACGATTAATTCCCGGAGACAACTGGTCGCACTGGAGGATCTTCTCGTGATTTGTGAATTTTAGGTAAAGCATATAAAACTGGAATCCTAGGATATTCATTTTTTTTTTATATTTTAATTCTTGTTCATTAATCCATTTCTTATCAAATCCCATTTGTAAAATGTCATTAATTTGTTTTTTTATAGGACTCAATGGGGTTAAACATACGTTTTTTTATAAAATGTCTCATCATAAAACATAATTTTTATTTTCTCAATGTATATATTAGAATTCATAACGACAATTCCTCCACTTTTATCGGCCCACTGAATAGTTAAAGTCGAATCATTCATTAATACTGATAAAGCTTCTTTTTGTATTTTTGTTAAATTTTGTGTCCTGTACAATTCATTCCGAGGCTTCTTTGACCATTTTTCCACATCGTTTTCTACAAGTCTACAAAAAGTGTTTACTGAATGATTTTGAACCATTGGCGTAAAAGTAGGCTACTTCTCGGTTTGAACTGTTGAACATATGGAGTTGCATTCACATTCGAACTAAAAAAAAACTCCTCAGTTTACCAATTCTAAAAAAACTTAAACAATTCAACTTTAACCATAAAGGGATTTGAGACATTGTATGGTACAAATGATAACCCCTTACTCAAAACTGCAGTTTGTTCAGTGGATAATTATTTGTCCGATAAATTGAATACAATGTTATCTTGGTGATTTAAATCAGCACAATTGGGTGAAGTTTTTTTCCTTTTCCCCGACGTCCTCTTCTAGTCGGTTTCTTCCGTTTTGGTTGCGTTTGGAGCGACGAGGTTGGCCCAAAAAAGGCTTTCTTTGTTGAGATGTCATTTGAGAAGACGACGTGTAAGCATCGTCTGATTCTGAAGCACTTGTGAGTCTTAATCCCCCTCATTGTTGTTGAGGTTTGGGTCTCTCAGACATCCAGGTGTAAACTTTGTGATCTTTATAATCCATTGTGTCTCTCTTGAATTTATGAATCTTGATGTTGAGCAGCTCCATTCTGAATTTATCCAGTTTTTCTTCCATTTTTTTCTGAAGATTATCTAGTTGTTTCTTGTCAAATTGGTGGTTCATTTCATCGTCTGAACTCACAATGAGCTCACTCATTACTCACACGTTGAGGATCACAGTACGAGGATCGTGTGATGTCACTGTGATCATCACATGATCTCACGTGTTGACTGGGAATGTCCTAAACACACTGGTTTGTAGTGCAAATATTTTTACCGTTTACTGCACTTTGTCATTTTTCTAGTTAAATTACCTATAGTGGCAAATGAATTAAGTATCTCACATTTACAGTAAAAGACATTCTTTAATGTTGAAATATTAGGTTGATTATTGGGCTACTTTTTCTAACCATTAGCATGTAGCATGACAAAACGTTGCTTTTTTGTCGCATTATTTAGCATGTTGAATAGCAACTTTACAGTCGAACAAACTAGACTGAGCTGTATAAAAATGTTCAATTGCCGTGAAGTGTGGTTTTGCAGATCCGTGATGTAAATTGCAGACTTTTGGGTATAGAAAAAATATGTAATGTTTCAAAAAACTGCCCATCAAACCATTTCATATGGTCTTTCATGGACCTCTATTACATTCTGTTAAAGCGCCAACTTCACCTCAGATACTGTGCTCCCCCTGAAATATGTATTTTAGGTATCTTAAGGAGATGATTGTTGACTTGTGGTTGTGGGTACGTTTGAATTTGTAGGCTAAAGCACTTTGTCCTTTCCACGTGCTACATTGCCGTTGGACGCACAGAGATGTGTGTGTGTAAGCAG